TTAATGTTTGCAATTCTTGGTTCGTTATATCAATTATATATTAACTATTTTATTATTAAGTTTTACACTAAATGGAACATAAATGCACCAATGTATAATGTTTTTCTTTGATCTGGACCAATGGACCAGAACTGCAGATATGAAAGCTCCTTTGAACACAGCATATTTATAAGGTATCCATATGATCCTGGTCAAGCGTAAAATCAATGTTTACAGGCTGAGCATGTGTTCCACCTCTGCAACCTGAGCATCTAACACAAACACACATCTGCCTCCATTTTCCAGTTATGTTGGAACCTTTATTCATCTCCTCTCATTGTCCGTACCGCTCTCACTCTCTCTCTCTCTCTGGCTCATGTTCCCTGTCTGATGCCCACTGACTCTCACCTCCTACCCGTCCCCTCCCATCGCTCTTTGTCTCCAGGTCAGTAGATCAGTTTTCAGTCTGGCTCGTCGGGTGATCCCCGCTTTGGTTACCTCGTCCTTCTCACCTCTCGCTTACCCCCACCTCCTCACCTCCCCACCCACCTCACCCTGTGAGCATATGGCCGGCTGCGCTGCCTGAACTCGCGGTGGCTTTAATAAATACATCAGTGTATTGGTATCATCATGACAGGGGTCACGGGTCGGTTACAGTGTGTGTGTAACCGAGAGAAGGAGGGAGGGGAGAGTGTGTGTGTGTGTGTGTGTGTGTGTGTGTGTGTGTGTGTGTGTGTTCGTTTCTGCTTGACAGTGCCTTCACCCTATGACCCTAATGCATGCTGCATGTTATCACAGGAGGCGTATGTGCGGTGCTCATGTAGCGTGCCTGAGTGTGTGGAGGGGTGAGTGTGAGTCTATGACAGACGCTCATCATATTTAATCCTGGAAGGATTTCGTTGAAATGAAAAGCTGCTTTTCAATTTTATAATCCAGTAGACCTAATCTCTCCGCCAGCGTCCGTCCATACAGTCCAATTAGATGGACGAGACTGGCTGGATGAGTCCTGTTCACCACAAACTCATCTCCCTAGCCTGTCCTTGCTGTGTCAAAACACTGTGGCACCCCGTGTCGTGACAGCCCAGTGCTGACCTTCACTAAGCGACTAAGCGTTGTGAAACTGTGCAATGCACAAAAAAACTGCGCTGTCAACCCACCTGTTTCTGCTGCAGTCTTGGCCTCGTAAACGGCACATTGATTAGGCTTTGGATGTGTGTGTGTGTGTATGGATGTGTGTCTGGTTCGATTCAGCCTTTGTGGCACCGTGCTCTCATCCACCCCCTTTCCCACATACACACACACACAGACACACACACACACACACACACACTGGGTCCAGAGAGAGAAAGTGCTCACTACAGTAAAAGAAGAAGTCGCACTAGTGAAATCGCTGAGTCGATTCATTCCCAGAGGTCAGTGTGTTGCATGGAAGACGCAAAGGTAGCAGTGGCTGGGTGTTTAGATTTATGGCCACGCATATGGCAAAGAAAGTGGGAAAGCGACAGAAAGGAACAAAGGCCAAAAGTCAAAAGGAGAGGTAAGAAAAAAAAGAAAAAGTCAATGCAAAGGGCCCATCGAGTTTTTTTACACACTGTGATAAAAAGAAAGGTAAAAACCAGAGGAAACGGAAACATGAATGTTTCAGTGAGTTCACAAAACCACTATGACCTTTGTTGTGGTTGATTGAGGACAGCAGACAGGAAAAACAGTTTTGTGGTGGAGCGTGTTACGTGTGTGTGTGGTAGTGGTTAGGGGGTAGAACGAGGCCACTTTGCCCATATTGACTGCAGTGCCATGTGACTGCTGTGATCATTAATGTGTCCTGATGCCAACGGGTATCCTGATGACCCACATCTCAGCAGTCCACTCTCTCTCTCTGGCTGCCACCCAAACCAGACCTCTCCTCTCTCTCTCTCTCTCTCTCTCTCTCTCCCTGCCTCTCCCTAGATGGGAGCAGATACTCTTTTACACCTTCTTAGGGCTGTTGCGATAACCACAATAAGGAAATACCGCGCTATTGATAAGCCAACCGCAGGGGAAGGCCAGCCACAACAGTAAGTGATGTCACATCATCACATCATGTTCAGTATTTGTTTTTTGAGACATGAAAGCATCCTAGAGCAGCTAGGCAGGAGCGCTGTCCGAAACATCCAGTGCTACCCAGTATCCCTCAATTCACAAACCAGGATTATGATACCACACGAGAAACAGTCACCTAGCCTTCATCTCACTCCTCTGGAAAGCCCCCCCCCCGACTGGAAATATCAGCAGTCTTGCAGTAGAAAACACGACTGATCTGTTAATTATCCCAATTTGCCACAGCTTTGCGTTTGCGTCCTGTGGCTTGCCAGTGTTCCGGTTTAACAAGTGACCCTGTTAACTGCCAACTCTGCTGACTTAACTACCCAGGAAGACCCAGGAGGCAGGAGGAGGTAGAGTGCAGGTGATTAGTACAAGCAAGTACTGAGATGAAAACTTTATCCTGTTGTTCCCTTAACAAAGTAATACAAAAAACAGCATAAATGGTGGTAATACCGCATACCACGCTGTTGAGCCACCGTAAATCACAGCAAGGGAAATTTCTTCACTGCGACAGCCCTACCTCCTCCATCAGCATTAAGGCCGTGTATCCAACAGTTTTTGGGTACCAACCAAAATGTCTCTGTGACAAAACTACCAATGTTCCAAAAAATACTTCAAAAGTCTTTTCAGATTTGTAGACCTGTTTATACATTCTTTTATTGAAAATTTATTGCTTTTTTTGTACGTAAGGTATCTAAAAATGTATAATTTTGTTATCTGTACCAAAACTCAGGAATCGTTTTGGCACTAATATTGAAAGATATCAGATGATACCCATCCCTAATCAAAATACAAAACAAACACTCTTGTCCTTGTTGGCTCACACTGCTTTTTCTCTATTACTACCTCTCTCTTCTCCTTCAGCTAACCTCTATCTCTCAATTGTGCTCCTGCTCTCTTGAGGATACAATCCCTTACTCATTTTTTTTTTTACATTTTTCTCATGTTCATTTTTATATTTGTTCAGGCCCACTGACATGGATATCCTTCCTCTTCCCTCTCCCTCTCCTCACTGAACAATTTAGATTTAAAAAAGATACAAATCCGTTGGACTGAGCTGTTTTATCATCTTGTTGCCTCTCTGATGCAATCTTGCTCTTCATCCATGACGCCCACTTTTTATTACTTTTTTTTCCATCCATTTATTTTTTTTCCTATTTGGAGCACCCTAGTTGGTCTGATGATGTGCTGACTTCAGATGAACAGTTTTTAGAGTTTTCACTGACCCAGTAAAGTAGCTTTGAAATTCAAAGTCCCACCCCCCATCTCGTTTACTTCATCTTCCTCCCCTCCTAACCTCCTATAATTCTCTCCCACTCCTGATCTAATGCTATTCCAAAGTCTGTCAGCGTCCCAGTTCCTTCATTTGGCACATACTCGCCACCTATTACTCCCTGAGTCTATCTCTCACTTGCACTCATGTATAAAATGCATATGGCTTCATGAAATAAGCAGTCCCTCAAGCACAGTGACAGGCACCCACCAACACAAACCTGCTTGTGTCGCCAAACTGTTCGAGTTAACAAAATCTGACACGTGGGTGAACGCAGTCACACACAAGCAGCCAAAGTCTCAGACACACGCATGCATGCACACGCACGCACACACACACACACACACACACACACACACACACGCAGTTGTGTATGAAACAACTGACTGTTGGATATTTTGGGGGTCGGCTGGGATGGGGCGGGGGCACACTCCACTGCACCAGAGGAGTTAATTACCCCATACGATCAATAATTCATTACGCTGTCAGTTTGTGTCGGCGTGTCTCTGTATATGTGCTGGCATGTTTTGAGTACACGTAAGCATGAACGCCAAACTCTCCCAGTAAGCATTTTCCTTCCCTGGGAACGGCAGATTAAGAGGATTGACTCCGTAATGGATTAACCTCTGGAGTGTGTGCGTATGCGGATGCGTGCGTGTTCCTGCGTGTGTGTGTTGAGCAGGATCAGAAAGCCTATGTATGAATTGATTAGCTTTAGAAGCTCCTCTCCTTCCCTTTTAATGACCACATCAGCACTTTTTCACCACGGGGAGGATAAATGTAGAGCTGTCCGTCAAGCAAATGAGACGCCGTCCCTTTAAGAAGGGTTAGCTGTCACTCGAACATCACTCTTGGGAGCACTCCCCATGGACTAGGGAGACCCTGCTGTGTCTGTGTGTCGACAATGATAGATGGAGCCTGTGTGTGTATTAGTTTGCATGTGCGCGTGGGTAGAGGGGTGAGTGAAAGTCTTTATGCAGTATTTTTAGTCAGCAGGACTTCAGCTTTTAACTGCAACTTCCTGAGCAAACACCAAAGCCAGTGCATCCATTATCTATGCAACTGATATTGTTTATGGAATAAACATATATTCTAAATGGAAGAACGAAAACAGTTTGACAAGGGAAATAGAGACACAAAATGACCAATTACCCAGTTGGAAGCAACTATTCGCCCACTCCCTCAGTGTTTTTATTCCAACTGAACTCCTCAGGGATTTATACACATGGTCACACTCACGCACACATGCAGTCATGGATTTACACACAAATGCACATTCACATACTGTCCGGCTACAGTAGGGGGTCGACTCGTGTCCCCTGCATTAGATCTTGCTAAACAGAGGGCTGATGTTTGACACGTAGCACATACACACTCTGACAGCAGGGTACCGTCACACTGCTCACAGGCTTAGGATGCCGACACAAACACGCGAGCATGTGCACACACACTGACAGCTATTTTGTGGAGATAAAAAGGTGTTTAGATGTTAGCGGCAGGGTGCACGGTACTGTGTGTCAGCAATGTGTGAATAAGAAGGGATGAAGCTGGGCAGGAGGAGGAGGAGGAGGAGACATATATCTGGAGCCAGAGAGCGGACATGAGTCACAAAAGGCCTGACTTAGATTAAGACAAATTCATCCCAGTCACTTCCCAGAGGTCCTACCTGTTTGCTGTACTTGTTCCCAGTCTGGCAGCCATACTCTGAGCACTGGTCAGATCCCAGGGACATAGCATCTGCATTGCCACTGCCTCCGCTACTGCTGCTGCTGGAGCCGGCACTGCCCACACAACCCCCACTGCCCACAAAGGTGTTGGAAGGTGGCAGGTCTTGGACCGCCTGGTGCTTCTTTCCCTCAGCTGGGGGGGAGTGGGGCTGTAGATTCACTGCAGGGAGAGGTGAGCTGGATTTGTAGTGCCTGGCCAGATCTGGGCTCGACTGGTGTCTCCTGCCGCCACCCATCCGCGGGCTGCCGGGGTCACCGTCCACAACACAGTAGCGGGCCGCAAGACGCTCACTAGCACTGCTCAAATCCTCCTCGTCGTCATCATTGGCATGGCGACGCAGCCCGTTGACCGTGACAATACCGCTGTAGAGTGATCTGTCAGACTTCCCTCCTCCTGCAGCTGCACTACCGCCACTTCCATTGCGCTTGTCCCGTCGAGGTTTGCGTCCACGGTCTGATCCCCTGCCACGGCCGACTTGTGGTTGAGCCCCTGGAGGACTGAAGAAGTCTTCCTCGGGCTCCTTCTTACCGGCCTCATAACCATTCTTGCCCTGAGCACCACACTGCCGAGCTGTGACGACGAGAAGGATAACCAGGATGACCGCGGCGGCTCCTGCCAAAACACCAATAGCTACACTGAGGCGCTGTTTCCCTAACGCACGCTCACTGTCTGGATCCCCTGCGATGTCCAGTGACAGTGGAGCCATCAGGCTTCGGGCCACCTGGGGTGAGAGGGAGAGTGGAGAAGAATAAGGAGAAGAGAGAGAGAAGATGCAGAGGAAAGGAGAAAAAGCAACAGAAAGAGAGAAACCATCAATGAGAAAAAAGTCCAAAACAGCAACTGTAAAAGATGACAGTGGGTGTGAGCCATAGAGAAACATCAAACAGCATCTTCAACTTAATTAAACTCATCACTGCGTTTTAGTGGGGGAGCTCCTCCATTATTCCCAGACACATAGAGTGTCGCTAAATATATAATTGCTCTTGCTTCCCAGTTGCAGCATTTCAAGTTGCCTGTAATTCTCCATTTGTGATCTGGCATCAACTGGTACAGGAAATGCCTAGGATTACGCTGTTTAAAGCTGATTAAAAGAATAAAAGAAAACTTTAGACATTAAGGTCAGCGACAGTTAGAAGCAATAAATGTGCAGTAAAGGCAAGAGACAAGCAATGACTATATCCCCAGAACACAAGCTCATCTTCTGTCTCTTCAATGAACAATGTCCCTATTGTAAATGATAGCGTAGGCGTGGATTTGTTAAGGATTTGCTATCACAATTTTTTTTTTTGCACTGAGAATTGGATGGACAGACCGATAGAAGGCTACTGTAAATAAGTGTGCTCTATGGAATCCTTTTTATAGCCATTTTCTTTTTGTCTATTTAGGGTCTTGCGTGTGTTGTTCTATTAAGCAAAACAGTTTTTCTTTGACGCAAAGCAAATCAATGCTAATCCATTTCGATCAACATATAATACACTTAAAATATTTTATATTTGTATATTAGATTGAAGAGACAAATAACAATCTTCCATTATGAACACATAAACACACACACACACACACACACACACACACACACACACACACACACACACACACGCTATGAGCTTGTACACTAATAAACAGATCATTACAAGAAAGTGGGTTATGCTGAAGCACAAACACAGCCATTAATGGTTATGTAGCCTTACTCGACAGGATACAATGAGGCCGTGGAGTTCTGGTCTGTAGAGCCCTGCTGGTAATATGGGGCAGGGTCATGAATCTGAATATTTCTAATCAATACTTAACAACTATGTTGGGAGAATCATTATACAGAGACAATATACCAAAATGCGCACACACACACACACACACACACACTGAAATGTATGCATGCACATCCACAAGCCCACACAGAATGTAAGGTCTCCGTTAGCGAGAAAAACTCATTCTGCAGTCCTGACACCTCGTCCCGGAGCTCATACGACAATTCCTTTGGCCTGTCAGGGCTGGAAATTATATACTCATGTAATCCCTGCTGCCTTAAGAATGGTGGGTAATAAGGCTTGCAGGAATGAACGGGAGACAGACAGAGAGTGAAGGTGAGAGAGAGAAGTTCAATTTGAGCCCCTGTGGTTTGCAATAACCAAATAAAATAACTACACTATAACCTGGAGTATTGGTAATACTGCAGAGAGTGCTTCTCACAGAGCTGCACTGTGTAACTTGCTTATTACATTATCTAAGGCATATTAGGCTTACTCATATAGAGAGCCACATTATTCACTTCTTGTCACCCCCAAGCTAAGAATGGTGCCGTTTATTTCATTGTTTTATCACCATCTATCTCTGGGTTAAGTTTTCATTGTTTTTGAGCAAGTTGTGTTGGTTCTGTTCCATTATTCTGCTTCCACTGCAGAGGGCCTCTCCCCGCCAGGCTCCGCTCTCCCCTCAGCCCCATTGTTTCTCTTTTGCCTGCAGTATTCCTTTCCATTCTCATTCTGCTGGGCATGTCTCTGGCTAAGCACATCCCAGCACTGTCTGCTGTATTGTGTGTGCAAAACAGGGAAAGAAAATAGCACTGCTGTGCCATATGTGCATGTACTACGTGACAGTGCAATAGCCAAGTTTGTGTCTGTTTGGGAGAGTGCATGCAGGCACATGACAGAGCGATGCATCACAACGTGCAAGGTGTACGATTGTGAGTCACGTCACATGCGTGTGTGTGCATGTGAGAAGAAGAGATACCCCGACTGAGTGCAAGCTATGTATAGCCGCCAAAGTGCAGTTTGTGTATGTGTGTTTAAAGATACACAGGACAGTTAAGTGTTCAACAGGATGAGCGCAGCAGCCACCTCTACCGCCGTGTTCGTCTGCATCCCTCTGACGCATCCCAAACTCCCAGTGGAATCTTCCATTCTGCTGCATGAGCTTTGTTCCGGCTGGGCATAACACCACCATCTATCTGTTCCACTCTCCAAGGAATTTGTTATCTGCATGTCACTGCAGATGCCGATGCTGCAACCAAGACAAGGAGTTCTCCCCTGACCACACTATTGACCTAAGCTAAGACCTAAGTGCCTGATCTTAGTTGCGGCTCAATGCGTTCACAGCTCTGCATAAGAACAGAGAGCTGCAGTTTTGTCACTGATAGCTATTAGTCATATTTCTAGAAAGACATGCAAAACCCCACATTCCGAGATGAAAATCTCTTGATCTGAGATGTAACGCAAATTATACGAATGTGAAAATGTTATCACTAAAAGGTTTAATCAGCCTCACAGCACAGTGTACTTCTGATAAACAAAGCACCTTAAAGTTTCCCAAATGTCTGAGATATCACAAACTATTTCCAATTCCTTCTTCCTCTAGCTCAAACTCTGCAGCATCATATTGCAGCTAATTACCCAACATGTGGTTCACCAAGTACTGTTGGATAAAAAAGACTGGAGTCATTTTCTGCCGCGGTGCTGCAGCAGTAGCAGCCGTTTTCCTTCCCTAATTACATCTGGCATCCATCCACCACTCAGTTTGACTTCATTATGAGATGGAGGTATTCTCTCTTCAATGACTTCTACTCAATTACTCCGCCAAGTTCCTCCCTACAATCAAACTAAACTATGCATATTGTAATCAAAGACGGCTTTTTTATACCAGCTTGGACATATTACACCCTATTGTTCCATTCAATGGCCCCGGTCATTTCGGCACATTGCAGTTAATTCCACCTGTCAACGCCATTGTTCCACCGCTTACCAACTGTTCTGTTCTAATCCTCACCCCCTTGATTGTTCAATTTGTACTTTTCATTATACTCTTAAGTGACAGCATTACATTCATGAGATGTTCTTCTTACTGGCTAGAGCCCAAATTCTACACCTTCTATCTGTACTCCTGTTGTTTGTCTTTCCGACAAACCAAAGATGTGCAATTTTTCGGACACCGAGTTGTCTCCAGATGAGGTGAGTCAAAACTCTCAGGCTATGATTATACAAGGATGTGTTTTTCTCCTGCTTAAACAAAAGACTTCGTTTTTTAAGTGTCGTTAAAAATAAGGATACAGAGAACTCAAAGGGCACACTAAGCACAATTTCCTTGTAGTTGCTATGCGACTGTCAACAATATCTTTACAGCAACATAATTGAAAATGAAAAATCAGCTAAAGTTTACATTAGACACTTGGAAATCATACACATTTCCCCAAGTGCTTCTATTTTATTATCTGTTTGACACAAGCTGAAACACCCAGGGAAGCACCGCAAAATGAACACGTATAGTTTGCAGCAGAGAAGCACTTGCTGCATTGTAAGGTGTGTCCTCAGAAATCACAATCCTTCGTATATTTTTTTTCACACAGCCATCCCACACTTAGTGCAATGAAACATGTAATTTGATACAAAAGGGGCTTTTCACAGTATCTAAGGATGGCATGGTATTTTGGGTAACCAACAAAATCAGTGCTTTGACACATTTTTGGGAGATTTGTGCCTCTTATCTGTCTGGCTGTTCTCTTCCTCTCAAATGTCTCAGAGCTGAAATAGGGTTATGCTGTTTACGTCACATTACATGCACAGACCTGACAGTTGAAGACCTTCTCCTCACAGAAAATATGAGAACAAGTCTCATGAGTGGGGTTAAAACCACAAGCTGTTAGTCTCAGAACAAACACTGTAACCACAAGGCCACTGAGCCCATTTAATTATTAGTCAATACAAATTACTTTGCCCACACCAAAGACAAAGTTTTAGTAATTATTACCTGACAGCATTTATAGCTTAGTTGAACATTTTTTAAAGCGTAATGGGAAGTTCATTTGATTAATACAATGGGGGCAGAGAAGAGAGAAATATTTCAACCAGCATAGCATAATCTAAATTTGCTCATGCTGGCAGTTGTAGTTATTTCTGGTATCACAGTAATGTCTTTGAGTCTAGTCTATTACCTCTTCACCCCAGTATGGATCTTCCAAGACAACTCTAATTTTGCCTCCTTGTCCTTGGTTCAAGAAGACCACATAGATTTGTTCAATAATAGTAGGTGTATTAGTGAACAGATATTTCACATTCCTGATTCTCCCTGTAAACATTATTCATGTGGAGTTTATAGTGGTTTTCAGTTACTTTCCTCTCTGTCTGACCACTTCTGTTCTGCTCAGAATGCGCCGCATGACACAATGAAACCCCTAAACCTCATCAATATTCAGGGCTATAGTGAGGAGACACTGCTAAAGTACAACTAGTATTCAAATGAACATACTTCAACCTACTCTGTATTACAAGGCCAAAACTGGGACAGGCTCATCTCTCTTTCTCTGCCTCTCTAACACACTCCCCTCTAATTCTCTCTCTCTGTCCCACACACACACACACACACACACACACACACACACACACACACACACACACACACACACACACACACACACCTAATGCTCTAAGCTCTAAGTTCAATGTACCATAAAAAAGAACCACTTCAGTAATAACTGTTATTTTAACCACAAAGTCATTATAAGAATGTATGCTGGACAAAGAACATCCACACTACAAAGAAGCTGGCATTGCCAATAGCCCTCAAAAGAGAAATGGGGTTCTTTATCTGGGACAAATATAGACACAATTATTTTCTCAGAAATGGGCAGGAAATTGCAACTCCATGCAGACTGTGGAAGTTCTGCATTTATCTCATTCTATCAAGAAAATAATATTCTGACCAGTTTAGTTTAAACAGCTACAATCAGTTGTCATTACCACCCTCTTCCATTGTAATGTGTTATCAGAGTGGCCATTATTTGAATGGATCAAAGGACTGCATGGTCACTGTCATTATTGGTTATTGTTGCCATCTCTGTGGAACAATAGAGGTCTGAACACCACAAAGTAAGACGTATATAAAGATTACCTGTGCATCCACTATGGTAGTGTTGGTCAAGCTCTCATTGATGAAGACATGAACCAGGGCGGTGGCACAAAGAGAGGGGGCCCCACTATCATTCACCCGGACCACCAGGCGATGTAAACCTCTGTGCCGCCGCTCCAGAGGTTCTGCCAGGGTGATCACTCCATTGGTGTGACCAATCTCAAACAGTCTGAAGGGATTTCCACCTACAAGAGCAAAGCGAAGGTCTGCATTTGGGCCAGTGTCTGAGTCTATGGCTGTTACAGTCTTGACAATGGTGCGGGCACTGCTGGCAGGAGGAAGGAGGGTGTAGGACTCATTGGCTGGAGAGGTGATTGATGGGGCATTGTCATTTTCATCTGTGACAAAGAGCGAGACGGTGGCGGTGGCAGTTTTGCGGGGCTCCCCTCCATCCACAGCCCGGACACGGAAGGTGTAGGTGGAAAGCTTTTCACGGTCAAACGATGCTGAGGAGAAGATGGTTCCTGTGTTGTTCTCAATGGAAAACACCTCTTCTTGCTCTTTTTCATCATCTTCTCCTTCTATCTTCTCTCCTGTCTTCTTCTCATCAACTCCATCCATCTCTACGAACAAACTAAGTTCTGCATTCTCGCCTTCGTCAGCGTCAGTCACAGTGACCATGCCAACTGGACTGTTGGCGAGCAGATTCTCTTTCACGTAGAACGTAAAGATTTCCTGAACAAACTTTGGCGCGTTGTCATTGCGGTCAGTCACCTGAACGACAACAGTCGCAGAGCCTTGCAGAGATGGGGTACCCTTGTCCTTGGCAATAACCCGGAGTTCATACCTCTCTCGCAGCTCACGGTCCAGAACCCCAGTGGCACGGATATCTCCATTATCGGCATCTATGTAGAATGGCCCATTAGCAGCAGGGTCTAGGGAGTATACAATCTCTGCATTTTTGCCGCTGTCTGCGTCTGTGGCTACCACAGTGACTACCCTTTCTCCAGGCGAGTTATTCTCGGCAAAGTGGACCTCCACAACGCTCTGGGCAAAGGTTGGGGCATGGTCATTGATATCAACCACTCGCACCATCAGGGAGCTGTTGCTGGACAGACTGGGGCTGCCTGAATCTACTGCCACAATAGTAACACTGTACTCTTTGGTGGCCTCGTAGTCCAGCAAGGCGGAAGTATGTAAGAAGTATTTTTTCTTATTCCTGGGAAAATAATAAGAAAAGAAATGTCATGAATGTAGTTGCTTCCCTAAACAAAAATAATATAGATCTTCAATAGTAGTCAAACAAAATACTAGTGCTGCGCCCACTTCGTTAATTAGCTAATTATCCGGGTGATTGTTGACTACAGATTCTTCAGTCAGTAGTCAATGTGTTGGTTTTTTTTATGGATAATGTCCCATTACATGCTAAAAATCTCAAGGTGACATCCACAAATGTCTGTTGTCTGACCAACAGATCAGACCAAAAACAGATAAGATTAAAAGGATTTGAAAAAGAAAAGCAGCAAACTCCTTCTTTTGAAAAAAAAATGAGTTTTTTTTTCCAAGAATAACTGAAGCAATTAATCGATTGTCAAGAAAGTTGGCAATTTTCTGTCAATTTGACTAATTGATTAATTAATTAATTATTTCAGCTCTAATAACTAATTAGTATTTAATATGCACTAGATTTTAAGAGATCTTCCTGCGTGACTGCAGTCATCTGCAGAGAGATAATAACACTGAAGAAACAATTACATCAACTAATCGACAGGCTGAAGACCTTTAATAACTATTACTTCGACTTTGAATTGTTTTAGTCAGGGACAGCCCTACAGTCAATACAACAACCAACCTTACTGTACAGGTGTCATAACCAGTAGCTGTAATATCCTAAGATGGCCTTCTCTATTTCCCTATCTGCCTCCATGCAATAGCTTCAGGAAATATCCTTACAATTGACTTATGAGCATTGACATTTGCAGCTTGCGCTAGTGGAATAATATTACAGAGAAGTCTAAAACCCTTGACTTTACTGAATATTTATGTTCAAAGTTTACAGATTGTATGACATTATAACTACTCTGTAGCCTTATTGAATGAGTGGCACTACTTGAAGCAAGCTTAATGAAATCTGCATGAAACAACACTTGAGCCACTGTTCTCTGAATTCTCTGTGGAAAATAAAACACCTCCTGGGGCTGTAGTGTGGGTGAGACTCATAGCAACTGCATGCTGAATGTGTAAATGTCAAGATCTGAAAACTTAGAGGATAAAAACAGTACCAGCCCCTGATAAAAAAGACTTAGATACTCTTTGTCTATGACTGATGTTAATTTTTACCTTTACAACAAAAATGTATATACTAGTACATGACTTTACAAAAATGCATATACATACCTGGGGAGTTACCTAAGCATGAGTCAGAACTATATTCAAATTAATGTAACTCTGAATCAGGGACAGCATAATAGATAGCTATAAGATACAATTTGCTAAATGGCATGTTAATGAACCAGTTTCTAATAATATGGGTATTTTAAATAATAACCAGTTTTTAATGAATTATTCCTGTGTTGCTGTAAAGTGATGCATCTCACAGAGCTATTATTTGAAATGCATCATTACTTCATGATTATATTACCATTACTTACAATTTCTATGTTCCCTCAAGAAAAGTAGTGCATCATCCTACCTAAATGACAGGAACTGATTATTAGATACTGGTTCATTACTGCAATATCTAGCAGCCTGTTTTCAAGCTACTTATTATCCTAAATTAATAATTTATTCAGAATAATTGAGGAAATTACTACTTTAATAAGTAGTTCTTTCCTTCCTTTGTGATGAGTGAGGATTCCTGTGCCTTAGTCTGCAGGGTTACCTTTGGTCTGGCTTACCTGTCAAACGCTTCATCTGCAGGTAGGGGTGGGAGTGCTGTTTCACCAGCTGGCTTCAATGTGAATGGGACATCTCCTACAACTGTGCACGTCACAGCCCCATTCTCTCCCTGGTCTCGGTCTGACACCTGCACCAGAGCTACTGGTGTGTCCACCAAAACATTTTCCGGCACTAATGCTGCCCCATCTCGAACGGGGATCCGTCCAATCTTCCGGATCTCTACAACTGGGACATTGTCATTTTCATCCCGGACAGCCAAGATTACAGTGGTGCGGTCAGTACGAGGTGGCTGACCCCGGTCTCTGGCCGTTACGGTGAACCTCAATTGAGCCACTTCTTCCCTGTCGATCCTGTGAAGAACGCTCAGCCATCCAGTTGCCTCGTCCAACCGCAGGAGTCGCCTGACAGATTCAGTGGCAGCTCCAAAGACGTACTCCACCTGCCCGTTGACTCCAATGTCACGGTCAGAAGCTCTGACCTGGAGGACAGGTGTACCTGGAGGGGCATTTTCTGCCATTTCTGCCTCATACGTGGACCTTTCAAACTGTGGGCTGTTGTCATTCACATCAGTGATGGAAACACGAAGCAGGGCTTGGGAGGAACGCGGTGGGTTCCCTCCATCTCGAACCCTGAGGACGAGCTCATATGAGTCTTTTTGCTCACGATCCAATGTGCCTTTCACAATGAGCTGTGGCTGTTTTTCGCCATCTGGTATATCTGCAACTTGTAGTTCAAACACTGTGCTCCTGGCTCCTCCTCCATTATCCCCACTTCTACCCCTCCGGTCACCAACTCCATCTACTCTAGTAATGGGATTTCCTCCTGCTGTGCGTCTTGTTGAACTTGACCCAGCTCCACCATCTTGAATCAGCTCATAGCGGTCGATGCCGTTTCGCCCAAAATCCCTGTCTGTGGCTGTGGGCAGCAGGTAAAGGGTTCCTATTGGGCGATTCTCCTCAACTGAGAGCTGGAGCACAGGTGAGGGGAAGGAAGGTGTGTTGTCATTGATGTCTGTTATGACCACGCGGCCTTCGAACAGGTCCACCCAGCTCTGCAGAGGCCCTATGACTGACACCTCAAAGTCTAAGAAACACTCATTTTCATCAAATATCATCTGACACTGTGGGAGCTTCTCTCTGTCAATGCGCCGTGGGCCTGTTGTCAGCTCACCTGTCACATTGTCAATCTTGAAGAACTCTGAGCCACTCTCCAGGGCAAAGGTGACATCCCCGCTGCCTGTACCTGCCGTGAGGCCCAGGTCGGCGGCAACGTTTCCAATTTTGACATCAGGTGGGCCCTCTTCCGCCACCCGGTACCGGAGAGCTGAGTAGGCACCCGGTAGCTGAGTCAGCAACTGCAGCACTAAGACCACGAGGCTGAGAGCCTGCGCCGCGGAGGAGTGCACTGCACCAAGCCTCTGCATGGCTCCTTCTTCCTCTCGCCTCTCTCCTTCCCCGCTCTGTCTGCCTCCGAGCTGCGGCTTGCCTCTTCTTTATTAGTGTTTTGTGGTCTGGCGTACCTCACAGCGTGGGTGTTTGATTTATGCTTCTTACACTCTCCCTGTCGCTCTCTGCGGACTGCCGCCTGAGGTCCGGAGAAAAGCTTCCGCACTCTCACTGTAGTTCACTTGAGCGGTGCAAGGCTCCTTTCTTTTATTCTCCTCCTACACTCAGTGCTTTTGTTTTTTAACTTCTGTAACAATTGCGGTGTCTCGCTAGGCTGGTCATGACACAGAGATATGAAAAAAATCCATTCTGCTGCTAAAAAAAAGAAAGAAAAAGAAACTAATTCATCAGTCTTTGATTAATCCACTTCACTCTTTCTTCACTCCTTTCTTTCCCCGCCAACCGGAGAGCTATCCCGTTGTCACAGGAGGACGCTTATCAGTTCATAATGCCATTTGTAAGTTCTTTTTTATTCCAGTCACATTTGGGACAGCGGCTTTTCTCGCGTTTTTCACAGTTAGAAACTGCAATGCAGCACCACACAAAAGGGGGGAGAAAAAATACTGCTCGGCTCTCCGGACGCCGAGGAAAACCCCCCCATAAAGAGGAAGAAAAATCAGTTTGGAAAAAGTCTTAGGGATGCTCCTACTGGATCTTTTTCTTACCTTCAGATCCAGCTGCGTTTTTCCTCCTCTTTTTTTTCCCGCAGTGGAGCAACGTGCCAAGCCGTCGGATTCCTTCACGCAAGTTATGAGGAGTGCTCTTCAGAGCGAGTTTCTCACATTTTCTTCTCATAAAGGAGGAAATTAGAGCCTTTCTTGGCGAGGTTTAAAAACAGAGATCCCAACATCATCATCAATTCAGCGTATTCCTGTGCAGCCTTGTGTTCGGGATGGATGTCTCGGTGATGGACCGAGTGTAGATGCGTCTTTTTCCAAGAGTCCCGCATTCTCTCTCTCTCTCCTCTCGCTCTCTCTTTCGCTCTCTCTCTCTCCTCCACATGCGCCTCCTCCTCCTCTAGCTTTTTTTTTCTCTCCCCCTCTCACCTGCACTGCTTGGGACTGCTGCTGTTCTCAAGCGATGCTGCAGTCTCTCTCTCTCTCTCTCTCTCTCTCTCTCTCTCCCTCTCTCTCCGCGCTACTGCAACATTTTCCCCGGCCGCGTAACTCGATCGCTGAGCTGTAACGAGAGAGGCAGCAGAGGCGGTGTTGGGTCGCCGTGTGTGTGTATGTCGGTTACCAGGGACAGACCTCACCTCCTCCTGTCATATAGGAAGATTAAATGGCTTGGTGTCCCGGCTGCTGACAGCTCCTGGTGGGGGGGGAAGAAATATCTTTATATTCACACATTCATACAAAGGACAAAGAGAGGCGCCAAAGAAAAGAGAGTGATCTGGCTTTAATACAAGTCAGCCCGGTGCTCAGTCATATTTTTTTGCTGGTGCAGCTATTTTGCCGGGGCAAGTGTAAAGTGCTTCATTCATTCTTTTCTGAGAGAGACAGAAATAGTCAGATACTCTCTAACGCATTGGGAAATTTGCAATAATAGGCTATTCATTCATAGGAATTTATAATATAGCCATAGTGGTACAGATAGTGCACTGTCTAATGGTCTAACCTAATGGTGGACTTCTTACTGTACTCAACTGCTGCAACCAATAATTTTTAGGGGCAAATAAGTAAATAAATAAATAAAAGCAGTCTGCATCATATATTGATTTACTTATTTCTTTGTCCCTGAAAAGAAATGGCTATGTATAAGTAATGGTAATTATTATTTTTTCATTTATGTTTTTATTTATTTATAACACTCAGACATGGTTTCTATTGTTTTTTCATTTTTCGGCCGCAGCCTCCACCTCTCTCACACACACACACGAACATGCACTCACTGCTGTGAGGACGTTTGTCTCTCAGCGGACCGACCTGCTCGGTGAGGAGCGCAATGCAGCAGCGGTCTGCTGCTATTGAACACTACCGGGGCTTCCTCGCTGCCGCTCTGTTAAACCCTCTCTGCATTTCTAATTCTCCCCGAGCCAGCCAGGGCCGTTTGCAAGAGGACTAACTGTGCTGCCCAGTCTGGCTAGAAAAGTAGGGGAGTTCCCCAACATAGTGTTATTGACCGAGAGAGAGAGAGAGAGAGAAAGAGAGAGAGAGAGAGAGCGAGAGAGAGAGAGAGAGAGAGAGAGAGAGAGAGAGAGAGAGCGAGAGAGAGAGAGTGGTGCGCACCGGCTATTAGTGAGCAGTTTATGGCTGGCAGAGAGTAAACAAAGACTGACAAACTGCAGAGAGAGGTCACACATCTCTCTCTCTCTCTCTCTCTCTCTCTCTCTCTCTCTTTTTTTTTTTTTTTACTCCTCTCTCTTTTCCTGACATCTCCCATATGTTTCTCTCTTTCTCTCACTCTCTCAGCTGCACCCCAGGAGGAACTTGTGCGCGTGTGTTTATGCCCCCCCCCTCTCTCCCCGTTTGGTATTCCAGAGGCATCGTCACGCGCCGGCTCCGAGCGCACCCACGCCCTCTGTCGTTCGACCTGCGCGCGCTTTTATTTCCCTCGAAATCAATCGCGAGATGCCGTACGTGCTTGCATCAGCGTGCGCGTGAATTTGGGGGGAAGAAAGAAAGTTTCAGAGAGAGAGAGAGAGAGAGAGAGAGAGAGAGAGAGACTTGTATGTCCATGAGCGTTTGTGTGGTGGGTCAGGTCAGTTCCCTTTTAGGCTACTTCAGTTGATTTACAAAAAAAACATCTAATAAAAATCAGTTGGCCTGAGCATTCTGTTATATCCAACCCATTAAGATATAATTGAACATGAATCCTCTTTCATCAGCAAATGAACTGCAGTTTCAATTTGCATATTGAATGAAAAGTGGTGTGTGTGTCTGCATCTGTGCACATGCCCTGGTGTGTGTTCTAGTTAAAGGCAGGATGTTCTTTGGAGAAACATAACCTGGGTTGACGTCTGTTATAGCCTAAAGGCCTAATCTTCTGTTTGTGCTATCACAAAAGAGGATAACAGCTTCACCACGTGGTCTACAAGGATAACTGTGGAGAAAATGAAGACAATCTTGACACACATATTTTACAATATTCGGCAACTGCAGCTGTTATTCAAGGACCAGGGGATCAAGTTTGCCACTTTTCCTGATGACATTTTGAACTCATTCCATAGGCTTTTTAAAGGCATGTTTTTTTTTTTGGGTCAGATCATCTCAGAAAAGCCCTTTTCTGTAGTACTCTCATTTCCAACAATGGACAGAAAGAAAATAACTTTAACATTCAATAGACAAGTAGTCATTACAAGCTTGTCACTGTGACCTTGGTGGTCATAAAGCCCTTTGACAGTCTTATGTTGACTCACCTGAATCACATCACAGGCCTCCTGGATTTCACCTCCTGCACAGTCCAGTAGATACAAACCCAAGGATATATGCCTGGTGGTGGACTTCAGCACAGCGCTCACCGCTTTGATCCATGAACTGCTTCACACTAAGCTTTCCTGACTCACCATACCTGCCTCCAGCTGTCATGGGGTTTCTGATAGGTAGAGGAGAGCAAGAAAGGCTGGGAAAAGCTACATCCAGTCACCACTGGGGAACCCCAGCGAGGTGTGCTCTTTCCACTGCTTTTCTCCTTTTACAATAATTGTGTACACCACCAAGGAATCCTCTTTTTGTAAACTTGCAACGCAACACTTGGTAGACTTGGTATATTGTGGGAAGTCTACATACCAACGGTATTGTGAACAAACAAACACTTGCTGTAGATAGGTCCTTTTTTTTTTTTTCAGGAGTATTGCAGCCACCGTAGTGTCTCCTACACGCTTGAAACGGGGAGGGTGAAGAGAGCAGGTTGCAATCTGCAATCTCACCACTAGATGCCACTGAATTCCACGCCGTTCCTTTAAGCTGAAGTAGAAAGGCTTTGAATACTCTATTGTACAAAAGGGCAGGTGGAGAATGCACTTGGAAGAAATATAACCTTAGTTTAGGTCTACATATTATCTCTATAGAACTGAACTCTGGCTATGCTAACTTAACATAAACTGAATAGAACTGAACAGACTAAACTCACATAAGACAAACTTGAGCTCCCAAAACTGAATACAAAGAGGAACATTATATAATGGCATGATCAGACCATTCATTAAAAACAAAGGGGTAACACAAACACTACCAAAACAACAAATAAAACCAGACAGGACAATTAGTCTATCAGTATAATACTGTAACAATTAACCAAAACAAAACACCAACAAACTAATAGACCAAAGGATTGGCTGACAATAAGTTTATTGTGTTTTATCTGTTTGTACAGATTTGCTGCATTTTACTGCACCAATTTATTATCATCTAAAGAGCACAGACAAGGAAGTAGAGAGTTGGCAGCACGCTTGTGTCCTTAACTTTGTACAATACCCTAACGCGGACACAGTGGCCGGTGCACTCTTCTTTCTGATGTGCTAAAGAGGCAGTTTTAAGGTTGGTAAAGCTAAACGGTTCAATAAGCCATTCAAGAACACCAGCTCTGTTGTAGGCCTGAGTCCAGATTGTTTAGAGATTGAATTAATCCTGCACGACTCCCATCCTCTCTATCAGAGTGATAGAACCAACAAAGTTTAATACCTTCAGCACCACCGTGGTCTCCTTTTCATCCACACACATCTAAGTACATATAATTCCTATAATTGCAGATTCCAGATAACATGTTGATTAATTTTGCTAGGTATGAATCTCTGGACACACATGCATGGGCTACTAAAGGTACACAAGTTGTCAAAATAATGTCATTTCATTAAATTGGACTCAGCTATGAGGCCCTGGTAATCAGCAGTTTGATGTCTTTTCAAAGTAACTACTGTCGCAGAGCTCTAAAGGGGCCAAATCATTTGTGCTCCAACTGCAGGAGTATCAGTCAAAAAACTGTTAAAATATTTAATAGGTCCAGGGGAAGAGTCTCCAAAATCGTGACAGCATATGCCAACACAGACAAACTGCAGTGACAAAGGGGAACAGCAGTCAAAAGCTGAAACTAACCGACAGGGATATGACACATATAAAGTACAGTGGGTTGACAAATGCTGCTAATTGTCCCGCAACCTAACCCGTGGTTCACACCGCCCCTGTCTGCGGCTTCTCACCAAACCGCCAGTCTAGTCACAGACCCCTCTTGCCCCACAGACACACAGACCACTGCATTTGACGCAGCAGACAAGTCAGCAACATTTCTATCTACAGTTCCATATTTATTCTGTTTAGTTAAGTTAGCTCACCTTTATAAAATAACTTACATACCTAGAGACAAACACGAAAATAGCATCCTCCTCCTCGTCCTCCTGGCATGTATTCGCCTCCTCATCTGCTTCTTAGTAAAATATATTGACGGTAACTGATACGTCTGTGATATTAATATTTACCTTCAATCTTTATGCTTCTTTTCATCAAACGAGAAACACAAACAATGGCCTTTAATGCCCCTCACTTCCTGTTTTTTGACGATAATTTGCCTGAAAATAATCCTGGAGAATATTCCCTTGAATATAAGAGGAAATGTTGATTTAAATTAGTGATAAATTATTTTTATTCGATGGTAGCTCGGACCGTAATGTTGTGATTAGTCTAGAGTAGTGAGAGCAATCTCCAAAGCGCTGTGTCAGAGCTTGTTGTGATCGATACAGCCATGTGATACAGAGAAAACATACGTTTGAATATACTCCAGTCTGAACAGTTAATTGTTCATTTAATAGGCAGTACATACTGATTGAGTATGTAGAAGGCAGTGCGTTAGTATCTGGTTTCAAACACAGCCATAGACTTGCTTTAGCTGTACAAATTGCAGTGCTAATGCTTAGGTAGCTTGACATTAACAGGAGAATACAGACTTTCTTTCTTGCAGCGTTAAAGG